TCCAGCCTGGCCATGTATAACCCACCTGACTTTGCACAAGGTCACGTCTCAGCCTCTGCGTCTCCGCTGCGCCGTGGCCTTCCCAGCCCAGTGCTGTTGTGAAGAGAGAAGAGTCGGCACAGGGCAAGTGGCGTCGGCGTCTGAGGCCTGACAGCAACAGACAGTCTAGTTTTCTTTTGTCACCGGCATCTTCATCCCTGGGACAACTACCCCAGCCATGTTTTCTGGCCTATTCTGAGAGAATTCTGCCTCAAAGTTTCAGAGGAATTCAAGTGATTGTTATCCAGGTAGACAGAACAGGAAGCGGAGTTGCTGGCCCCAACCCACCGATTAGAAGGATGGCCCGTCTTCTCTTTGAGACAGAGTCTTGTGGTCGTAGCTGTAGAGGGACAGAAGCTGCCCGAGCTCATGCTTTGTGAGAGCTGCCGTTTGATTTGAGTGACTGTCTCCACTGTCTTAGCCATGAAACAATAGACCCAATTAAGTGCATCTTCAGAAGCAGACCTCTAATACATCTGGGAAAGAACAAGAAGGAAGCTCCACTGGGATGGTGAAGAGCAGGGATGCCTCTCAGAGGAGGTCGAGTTGGAGGAGGCGGCCTGCTGTGGCCCTCCCAGCTGCAGGAGCCTCCCATGCAAATGAATTGATTGAGAGCTGTACCCCCGCCAGCACTGGGGTATAAACTCTAGGCAAACTTGGTCTTCTCTATAGTACCCTATCCTTCTGGGGCTCCTCTGACAGTGAGTTGAATACATGCAAGGAGATTAAACGGGGGGAGGCAGTAGGACAAATCTGGGTGCTTTGTCCTGGGAACCTGCGGCCCCCCACACTGTGGTCAGCAAACTTGTCACCCTGCTGCCTAGTGGGCCCCATGGAGCCCAGAGGTTATGCAGACTCTTAGCCCATTCCCTCTTTGCCTACCCCTCAAATCGAGAGCCTCCTCGAGGTGGTGGGTTATTTTCCTAGGGCTATTGTAACAAACTTAAAACAACAGAAATTGAATTCTCTCACACTTCTGGAGGCTGAAAGTCTGAAGTGGAGAGGTTGTCAGGTTTGGTTCCCTCTGGGGTTTCTGAGGGAGAATCCATCCCACACCTTTCTCCTAGCTTCTGGCGGTCGCCCGAAACCCTTGGCACTCCTTGCCTTACAACTCCATTCCTCATCTTGAGATCCTAACTTAATTACATCTACAAAGACCCTATTTCCAGATAAGGCCACATTCACGGGTATGGTCTTGGACATATTTTTTGGGGGGCCACTGTGGTGAGGTGTTATGTGCTGGGCCATGCATGAAAAATATATTTCATCAAACACTACATTTCATTGATTGGTTTTTAAAATTAATTGTAGTAATCACATTGGGAGTGTGACAAGATGTCCACATGCACATGTTTATCAGACGGTTGGAAATATGTCTCAGGAGTAAGGGTGAAGCTGGAGATACTGATATGGAAGACAGGAAAGAATTAGAAGTTTCCTTCGAGCTTCAAGCATCTGTGATTTCAAGTTTAAGATAAATGTGGGGGGAGAAAAATAGGACTAGTTAGTGAGAGAGGCCAAGAGAGTCTGGTGAATTCTCCAAGGTTGTTTTCTTATTCTTTAAGTCATTCGTACCACTTTTCAGTTGACTGTTAGGAAATCTTTATCCCTAAAACAGCCTCGGAGTACCATGAGACAAAGCTCCAGGCCCATGGAATTCCAAATTCATGGAATTCTAGGAGCTTCTTTTAGAACCTAGAGCTTTCTCCAGTTTGCCTGCCCCAGGTAATAAATAGCTTTTGGGTAATAGTAGAGCCGATGCCTGCATTTGACATGTTCTGTGGGTTGCTGGTCAGTTCCACCTCAAGCTGGAGGTGAATTACTTTGGTTAAAAGGAGCTTGCAGTTGGAGGGCAGAAAAATAAAAGCCACAACTTATGTGGTCACTTAGAAGACACTTCCACCAAAGTCTTTATCTCACATTCCTTTGCTTTTTCCCTCTCTTCTCTCTCTCTTTCCCATCCATCTAGCTGCTGTTGGGTGCCTACTATTACCATGCTATGGCAGTGGAGATAAAACTATGAATGAGATAGACTGTGTGTCCCTAAGGAATTCACAGGCTGGTGAGGAGACCACATCCAAAAGTAGACAATTCTGATGCAATTCGATAACTTTAATGATAGAGATCATGATAATGATGATAATAATAACCATTTATTGGCATCCTTCCCACGAGTCAGAGATTGTAAGAAAACAAAACTCATTTCATGGATGAGGAAACTAAGGCTCTGGAAGATTAAGTTGCCCAGTTAATAGCTGTCAGTACTGGCTCTTGAAACAGTGCTTGTTGGATTCCTGAGTCCATTCTTTAAGTCCTGTACTCAGGAGCACAAAGGGAGGAGCCTCATCTAGCTGGGCAGACGGGAAACTTGTCTTTAGTCCATAGGACTTAAAAATAGGGTATCACCTTTTATAAATTACAGAGAGTCAGATGGTATGACCAGGGCACACAACCAGGGTACAAATGTTATCTTCTCTCCTTTCTGGCCCTCACCCGTGTCCTCATTCTCCCTGTTGGCCTGATGTACTTTCGTGGGGTAGAGAAACTTGTTTAGTTTTTTGCTCCCTTTGATTTTTTTTATTGACCCCTTTGGCATCCGTTTGCTCTTTTAAGGACCATATGAGGGCTGAAGCCCTGTCCAGACCTCTGGGTCTGTGGAGATTCCTCCACACACTGAAACGCACCCCTGAGCTCATGCACAGCCGTGGTTTATGGGATGGGGGCCGCTCAATAAATGAAAGCGATGACCCATGGTGACGTGCAGGGCTGACCCGGGCTTTCATCGATCACAGAAAATGCACGTCCTTCCGTGGCTATTTCGTGCCTAGACATTTCATCACCTAGCAGAGGGCCACCATTCATTCTCCATCCTAATCGAATCTTACAAATGCGAGGAGATCGTAATTAACACACCAACATCGCTTTCCTCAGAAATCTCAAACCGTAGATCCAGCACTGCCTGACGGTGTGTGCTTTCCTGCCATGCTGCCATCTCATGGATCCAGAGTGCTCGTGATGTGCAGTGAGGTGTGATAGGGGGACCCCTAACGTGGCAAGGTCGGAGGGCTGCTTGTCGCGAGAACGCTTTACAGACCGCTCTGGGAGCGTTACCAGAGGAGAAGGCCTCGGCTCCGCCCAGGAGCAGTCACAGATGCTCGGAGCGGATGCATCTCCGCTCTCAGGATGCTCGGAGGAGAGCACCTTAAAGCCTCTGCGGGATCCGAAAAGTCACGTTACCGCGGAAGGCATGCCTTCACGCAGCGCAGCGTTTGGGACGGGCGTCGCAGGCCAAACTGAGGGGAGTAGGTGTTCTTGGTGGAAGTTGCAAAACGTTAAACCAGGGAGGTGGGAAAGTAGGGTACCCGTTCAGAAAACACCCTGCAGTTCGGTTTAGCTGTTACCTGGGTATATTCAGGTGAGCAGTTGGAAAGGAGGAGAAAATAGTAGCTTGACACTTTGCTGTTGACCGAATGTTTGTGTCCGTCCACCAAAAAAGAAAAAAGTCCGACTTGAAATCCTAACCCCCCATGTGTGATGATGTTAGGAGGTGTGGGGCCTTTGGGAGATGATTGAGACTTGAGGGTGGAACTCTCATAAATGGAATTAGTGCCCTTATTAAAGAGACCGCAGAAAGCTCCCTCCCCACTTCCACCATGTGAGGACATAACCAGAAAATGCCATCTGTGAACCAGGAGGTGGGCTCTTACCAGACACGGAATCTGCTAGTGCCTTCCTTGATATTAGACTTCCAGCCTCTAGACTATCAGAAGCAAATGTCTGTGTTTATAAGCTACACAATTTATGGTTCTCTTATAGCAGCCTGAACGGACTAAGACACACTGCCATACTCATGCTCAGTTCCTTCCCATAACGCTGGTCCCTTCAAGGGGCTGTATTGGGGAAGGACCTTTATTATTTAGGAGCAGTTGTCCTGGTGGATCCGTGCCTCAGGAACAGCTGACTGTCTTTTTTCACACTGTATCTGTGACAGCTTTCAGGTCCACAGCTTTCAGTTCCTAGAAAATACAGATTGGATTAAAATTTTTCTTTTCTGCCCTAAAAATCATGGACCCAGGAGACCTGAGCCAGTAGATTAGGATTTACCAATGGATCTTAAAGCCCGTTGCTACCTGGCCCCTGTCCCTCGTGTCTGGAAATGCCCCTGGATGGGAGGTTTGGGTAAGAAGGGAGAGGGGTTGAGAGATGAGGAATCGAGACCCTGTGTTTCCAGAATCTTCTGCAGCCCACAGAATGCATCAGTAACTCAGGAACTTTGCTTCAGTTTACATCCAGCCCTTGCCCCACCCCCAGGACTTCTCTTTTGTATGTTAGCATTTCTTAGCCCAGTTTTCCTGGAAATGGCCAAAGAACCATGTACAGATGTGGCAATTAAATGTAGTGACACTCCCATGAGGCAGAGAATTTGTCAGCACAGAGAACATGTGTCCCAACAGGGAAGCCTTGCTGCCCTGTTCTTAGGTAGACAATCCACGGACAGTCTGATGGTTTAATAATTTAGCCCCAAATCAAAGGAGTTGGTTTCAAAGTTACCACAGCAAAATGAGTGAATGGAAGAGCTTTTGGCTTTTCCACTTGGCTTCCTCCGCTTCCCAGAGTCCTGTACAGCCCTCTCCCATTCCCTTAATGGGATCATTACAAGTAATATGTTCTCATCGTAGGAAATTTTGCAAACAGAAAAGAACAGAAAAGGAAATAAAGCAACATCCACAAACCCACCTCCCAGGGGGGACCACTGCAAGCATCCTATATTTTATTTGAACCCCCCCCCTTTTTTTTTAAATGTGCGTTTCAGTAAAAAAATTTAAATGCATGCACTTCTAATGAATCTCAGGCTGGATGGGACAGAGGTTGGGGGCTTTCTTGCTTTCGGTCAGATTGGGAGAGGTACAGTGTCCAGGATTTCTGCAGAGTCCGTCATTTCGCTTTCTTGATTGTTTCAGGGAGTAGCTGAGGCCGAACTGGAAGGAAACCTGAGTCGGACTTTCAAAACCTTCTTTAGAGCGAGTGATGAGGTGAGGTGAGGGGCATGGGGGGCAGGAGGGGGAGAAGGGGTGAGCATGTGGGGTGAGAGGGCTGTAAAGATGTGAAGTTCTCCAGATAGCTTCCCTAGGAGAATGGGGGGCAGGGAAACGGGGGTGTCAGGGATCTGGGAATGAGCAAGTTGGCCTTTTTCTAGGACTTCTGTAGTCAGGGTGACAGAGTCTTCACTCTGCTGGTCTCCTCATTAGTGGAGAAAGGTCACACCCTCACTGCCACACCCCAGTAGGGCTTTGAAACCAGAATCAAAGAATGATTATACTAGCAATGGTTTAGAAAGTACACCTTTATTACATTACCATTTTAATGTGCATAATTGTTTATCAAAGTTGAAAACCAGTTGCTATCTCTAACCTTTTTCTTGAACAATCAAAGTTGTTCAAGAAAGCCTTAAAAGGCTTTATTCCCATAACCTCCACCCTCCTGTCCTGGGTGTCAACAGTCACTGTCACTGCTGTTTTGTTGACTCGGTGCCTGCTTAGATTTTTTCCCCATGTTTGCTAGTGCCTCTGCTGATCATTTCTAGCATCTCACTCTTTTGCACTGAGTTCAGTTGCTTTCTTCCTGAAGGAACTTCCTTTGTAGTTCTCTTGAGTCCGTCAGTCATAAACTCATAATTTCGAGGGCCTGAAAATACCTTTATTTTGCTTTCAATCTTGAAGACTAGTTTGAGTATGGAATTCTAGGTTGACAAATTTTTTCCTTTTAGAAGCTTCTGTCCATTGCTTATGAGAAATCGGCCTCAGGCCTACCCTCTTATTGGTCTTTTAACGGTGTCTAATCTGCAGTTTAACTCATTCTTGAAGTTTTTTTTGTTTTTTGTTTTTTTTTAATTTCAGTGAACAGTTTTTTTATTTATGAAAGTTGTATTTGGTACTTTTTCAAATCATTCTGATTTCCTGTTCTTGTTTTTCAGTTCTTTTATGTCTTTAATCATTTTAAGCAGACTCATTTTCCTTTCATATTCTCTCTCTCTCTTTCTCTTTCTCTTTCTTTTTTCTTTCTCTTTCTCTCTCCCCCTACCCTCAGTGCAAGTTCTATTATTAGATATTCTTGGAGAGTATTATTTTACTGTTTGCTATGCTTGCTGTTTTTGTCTTGCAATGGGACCTGGGTGGAGGGGGTGGCGGTGAACGGAAGGGAGAGAGATAGAAAGAGTTTTGTGATTTTGGTTTGTGAGCTCATCTTCAGCAGCACTGACTTTGCACTGATCTGCTTCACTTGGGATTAAGGAAATGACCTCTTGTGGTTTAGCACTTGCTGCTTTGCCAGGCGTTCTAGTGGTGTTACCAGCTATGGCTCACTTCATTGTTGTTGTTTACTTTGTATCTTGGGGGTTTCCGGATCATGCAAATAGTGTAAATTCAAATCCAAACACTTGTGAAGGCAGGCTTGTAGCTATGAATTTCTAAGTGAGTTTTTTTGGTTTCCTCTTAGTACCAAACTGAATGGACCAACTCCTTTGACATCTCTCTGTCATGATGGGTGGATTTTTTCTGGTCTATCCTTTAACTGAGGACCACAGATTTACCGGATTTACTGTGGAGGGGTGGGAAGGGTCTCATTTTTATCTTCTCATCCAGACCCAAGGTTTCATCTCTTGTTCCGGTTGGTTAATACACCCAAGCTCTTAAATGACCACCTGTCTACGAAAGACGGGCAGCCTTGGCCCAGAGCTTTGGTTGTTAGCTGCCTCTGCTGTGACCCCTGAAGACCTACCTACCACTCTTGGGAGTTTAGCATGTTTGTATAGTCTGATGGCATGTGTAGATCTTTTGATGTGATAGGATTTTCAGATGACCTGTTCCACCCATGACATCATTTCTAACTTTTCCCTCTACAGAGTATTCTCTCCTTGAGCAATGTCCGTGAAATGGGTAAGAGACATTCTTCGGAGGGAAGGGAGACAGGAGGGCCGTGGCAGAAACCAGCTGAATGTTAAATGAGTGTTTCTGCATCTGACTGCTATAGTAGAAGTAGGCAGAAGTAGCCACCTGCCAGCTCTGAACTATGACTTGCTTAATACAGCGTCCTCACAGGCGAATAGCACTTACCCAAGCCCTGGGCTGAGCACACAGCCTGGCTTCCTTTCCTCCAGGGACCTCTGGGTTTCAGATCTTAAACAGTTGGAGCTTGAAAGAAAACTTAGAGCTTGTCGGGCAGTCCTACCCTCTACTGATAAGGATTGAGACCCATGATAGGAACAGACGCAGGCCACCTGGTGCAGGCAGAGTGGGAGTCGGACTTGACCCTAAGCCAGGTCTCTGTCATAGTCCACTGGACTCTCCTCTCTCTTGACTCCATGTTCTGGTCATTCCGGTTCCATCTCACTGAGACGACCTTTGTTCTCCCTCCTGGGTGGGATACAAGTAAGGAGTCAGAGCTGAGCCGAGAACAGATTGGAGCTCAGCCCACGGCTCCGAGATCAGCACTGTTCCCACAGAACTTGCTTTTGCCCAACACTGGGGCCTTGCCATTATTCATTTGTATTTTATTAATAACAGTGATCACTACCACTTGTTTGAGCACCTACTGTGTGCATCAAATGCTGGCCTAGCCCCCTTTAGCTATATCATTTATAATCCTCATGACATCCCTAAAAAACCCCATTATTATCTCTGTTCTACAGATGAAGGAAATGGGGCTCAGAGAGTTAAGGAACTTGTCCAAAGTAGCCAAAGTATTGCCCCAAGGCCATGCTCCTCTCACTGGGCAAGACCCCCTCTCCTTTCCCTCTCTCCCTTCCTCCCTCGATTCCTTCACTCGTTTACACAGTCACTCTTCACTCCTTCATTTCTCAGATATTTTGAATACACATTTGGTGTGAGACAGGGGCAGATACCCCAACACAGGAAACGGACTCAGAGAGCCCATGGTCTCTTGGGAAGGCAGACGGCAGTCATGCAGGGAGGGAGAAGGCCAGGCTCCCACTGAGACAGCAGAGAGCCAGGAGCTCCGGCCTCCAGGGAGGCTCAGGTTGCTTCATCACAGGGAGGCGCCCTGATCACATGCCCCTATGATATGTCTCACAAAAGTCTGCATCGCCCAGCTTCAGTACCTCCAAGGCTTCGAGAGCCTGAAAATGGTGAGCTAGCTCTGTTCAAGCACCAGTGTTCACAGGCCTTGGGGCTGTCTCCTGTGAAATGGCAGTGGTTCCTGGGCTGCCAGTCATCGTCAGGAGGTCACCCTCCACGGGACTGGGGACTGCCAGGACACAATGTACACCCCTGAAAACAAGATAGGGTTCCACTCCGAGGACGCCACGGGAGGGTCCATGGACGTGCAGAGGGCAATCGCATGTGTGCTCCGTCCTGCATTTTCTTCCAGGCTCAGAGGAAATTCAGAACACGCACCTGTGAAAATTCCAAGGACCTCAGTGGAGATATCTAAACAGGGACATAATTCATTAAGCTATTTAGAAGTTGAGTCTAAGGGAGAGGGAGAGCTGGAAAGCTGGCAGGGCCTGAAGGACAGGCAAAGAGAGGTGTCATCGTGAAACTGAGCTGTAAGTTTTTGAAGGAGAGGACAGGTACGGTCAGTCCTAGAGTTTGTCCTGGAAGTTGAGGCCTGTGTGTCGGAGATACCATTGGGGTCTAGAATGACAGAGACAGCACAGACTTGGAGCTTAAGTGGAGATGGGCTCATTGTGGAAAAGAGATAAGGAATGAAGGAGCATGGGGACGTCAGAGGCAATTAGGAGCTTCACCTCAATTGAGAATGCCAGCATTAGCTGCTGGGACGCCCGGCCCGGGGGTGGGGGAGGAAACAAGTGGCTTTTTGCAGGAGGACTCTTCGTGAGAACCCCGGAAGAGCCCAGCCTCAGCAGGATGGTGACGGAGGAGGACATCCAGTTCTACGTGCAGCAGTTCAAGAAGTCTGGTTTCAGGTAAACACAGTGGTGCCCCAGACTCAGGAGAGAGATGGTCAGCAAGGAGGGGCTTTCACATTCTTGGGGCGAGGCCCAGTTCCCCTCCACCGTGGCTCCCACGGGTGCGTGGCCAGCCTGTGCTTAAAAGCCTGCAGTGTCAGGAGGCTCACCACCTCACAATGCTGTCTGCTCTGGTCTGTCAGCTCACCTCGCTCTGCCTTATGCTCGTGGGCCCCCACCCCCCACAGGGCAGATGTTTGGTTTTTTTTTAACATCTTTTAGTTATGATCCCTGTGAGAATTGGATGACAGCTCTGAGTACTTTCTTTAGAAAAGCACAAGAAACACAGAAATTCACAATCGCGTACATTTCCAGGACAGTTGTAGACCTCTGAGGTCTATTCCTTTTTTTAATAACAGCTTTGTGGTGCTCTAACTCACAGACCATGGAATTCAGCCGCTGAAAGTGTACACTTCACTGGGTTTTAGTTCATTTATGAAGCTGTGTGCATTCATCACCACGTCCCATTTTAGAACGTATTCATCACTCCCCAAAGAAACTCCGTTTCCTTCAGCAGTCACCCCCTCCACTTCCCCTCACCCCTCCCCTAATCCCAGGCAGTCGTCACTCTGCTTTCCATCGTCGTGGATCTGCCCGTTCTGGACCTTTCACATCAGTGGAATACAGTATGTGGTCCTCTGTGCCCGGCTCTTTCCACTTAGCTTAATGTTCTCAAGGTTCACCCATTTTGTAGCCTGTGTCAGCCCTTCATTCCCTTTTCTCAGATCTATTTTTTTTACTGGCGTTCAGAGCCCCTACTCTGGGACCACAAACCATTGCTCCAACAGCTCCTTTTCTTCATAACCCTTCAACTATTTAAATATTGCAAATCTTGGAAGCTCATGGTTTCTTCACCACGTTTCCATTCTCCTCCTCTCCCTTATGCCTCTCTCTTTACATCTCCATCCTTCACTCAAACCCAGGGGCGCAGAAAGAGCCAAGCAGTGAGCACTGCCTTTATCAGCTCAGCCCTGGAAGTCCGCAGTGCTGCAGGCTTGGCCATGAACGCCTGTGGCAGCAGCTCTTTAGCCCCCAGCGTCTCCTGCACCACAACCTATAATTCTTCCCTAAGATTCTGCAGCTTTTCTTTTTTAAGCGGGAGACAATTTACAAGTCCCGGATTGGGGGACAGTTTTGCTCTGGAAGGGAACATAGAGATAATCTAGTCCTGCCCCCTTGTTGTTCAGGAGGGAAAATCAAACGTGCCAAAAGGTTACGTGGCTTGTCCAAGGTATTTCCACAAGGTATTTCTAGAGCCACTGGGGGAGCCTCGAGGCCTGAGGGCACCAACCCCAACCCTGCCTAAGGACTGGGAGCATGTTCTAGGTATAGTCCTAGAGCCATGCTTGCCTGGCCCAGGGGGACGCTTCCATGCCACCTCCCGATGTCCCTTTTCAGTGGTTTCCTGGGGCAGGGGAGCAGCCTCCGGATGGTGAGGGCGCTAACCCAAGCTCCCCGCCCTCTTAGGGGACAGCCCTGGGAGAACGTGGAGAGTCCTGTGTAGCTAGGTTCTCTGTGTCCCCAGAAGCCGCCTTCAGAGGCTGTCAGCCTTCCCCGCCAGCCCTGGGCCTGTGCTCACTGGGCCTTGCTCATTAAAGCATGGAGATGGTGCCAGGCAACGGCCCAGACTCCTGGGCTCCGTGCTCCTTCCCCTGCAGAAACTTTGCTCCTCCTGGGAAGACTGATTCAATGCAGAGCTGGTTCCTGCTGGGGTCTGTAGCATAGTCATCTACTAAAAGCTTTCCTATTTTTATTCCCTGATCTGCCCCCGCCTAGAGGTCCCCTAAACTGGTATCGAAACATTGACAGGAACTGGAAATGGGGCTGCAAAGGCACGAAGCGGAAGGTGAGTGCTGGTTCGGTGTTGCCCCTCCCCACCATGGGCCCCCTCGGGCTTTCTGTTCGCTGACTACTTTGCCCTTGGGTCAGAGCTGGGGTGGACAGACTGACCTGCTGGCTTCCTCCTTTCCGTCCTCTCCCTCTGGGTTTTTGGGAGTGCCTCCACTCGTGTTTGCCCTCGTGACCTCTCTTACTGTTGCTTCTTGTGGAATGGTAGGGGGTAGTGTCAGAGCCAGGGTCTGTCTGTCCATGTGACTGCCGCATCTGTCTGGAAGGTCCAGGGCTCCTGGCGGTGCCCCTGCCCAAGGCAGTGGGTGTTCCAGGGCGACTAGGATCGTGGAGCCCCCAATCCTCAGAAAGAGCATTAGGTTCTCAATGGGGAGGGGCTTTAGCCTCAAGCTTTGTCACCTTGACCAAGTCAGTCTGAATCTGTTTTCTCTTTGTCAGGCAGAAGATGGTTTCCAGTCTTTGGGTCTGTGAGGGGAGTAATGAGGTCCCGGGACAGTTTACATTCGAAATGTTCAAAACTTAAGGGAAATTGCATTTTCACGTTCCTCAGCTCACTCAGTACCCTGGTTATCTCACTGATTTACTCAAATGTGGATGCCCTCTACATGCCAGGCACTGTTCTAGGCTGTAGAGATACCAGCTGAATAAAACAGATCAGCTGCTGACCTCGTGGGTCAGGTCTGAAGGCAGACAGTATCGAACACAGTGGTTAAGAGCAGGCTGGACAGCAAGTTGGCCTGGGGTCTAATCCCTGTGTGACCTCAGACAAGACACTTAACCACTCTGTTCTCTATTGCCACTTCTCTCAGATGGAAATGACAAGAATAGTGCCTACTTCATAGAGCTGTGTAAGGATAAAATGGGTTAATGCGTGTAAAATGCTTAGAACAGTGCCTAGCACATATAGTAGTTCAATTAATGCTCATTATCTCTATCATCACTCTAATCTGTGATTGACAAAAATTACAAAACTGCAGTTTGATAGGCAAAACCCCTCAGAGCATGGAGGGACATAATGAAGCTCTGGGAAGGTGCCCGTCGATGGCGCTGAGACGGGGAACCCCTCCTGCGGTTACCTTCCAGATCGTCCTCCCCTCCCACCTTCTCCCATGTTCCCACTGCCAGGTCACATGTTGACTTGGAACAATCTAGAGTTTACACACCCCACAGCAGCCTCAGGATGAGCATTGGCAACAAAAGCACTTCTGAACGTCCCCCGCTTCTTCATCATTCGGAGGGGGCAGTGCAGTGAGAAGCACATAGTTCTGCCTATGGATAAAAAACAGTGCAAACTCCTTAATCAGGGACAAACTGGAGCTGTCAGTTATAATGGTAGAGTGATAACAGAATGAATGGAGGCTTCCTTGGCCTCACAGTGCCTCATTCATCAGTAGATAAAAGGAAAGCCATTTTGCTGCCTCTGATGTCACATGGATAATGGTTGTGGCTGATCCATACACTGTAGGGTCCTGGCTGCCCTTTTTAAGCATTCATTTAATGCAGAGAAAAGTAATATTGATCTCCATTCAAGGACATCTTTCCTCCTTTCTGGTGCCATCGTTTGGTTCCAAGAATATGAGTCACACAGAGTGGACCAGCATGCACGTTCTTTATACACTCACACGCGCACAGATACACCCGTGTTGGTCCCTACACCGCGAAGCCCATCTACACTAGAAAAACCCAGTCTTTTCCTCCTCTGTGTCTCCTTCACACAAAACACTTCACTTCTGACACTTCTGGTCACCAAACGTGTGAAGGTTTTCCCCCACCAAGCAATTCTCTGTAATACCAGCTGGTGTCCTACAATTTAACTCTGTTCTAATACTATTTACCTGGAGATAACATCAGATTCCACAGGTAGGGGCTCAGTTCCACAAGACTACCCCCAACACACACACATACAAACACACACACACACACACACACACACATTCAGATACCAGTCACAAGTACAGGTTGTCACCTGTGCTTCTGACCAATCAGCTATAGATCTGAGGTTCCTATGACCTCCGCCTCAGGTTTGATTAATGTTTGGTAGAACGGCTCATGGAATGCAGAGAAACTCTTACTTACATTTACCAGGTTAGTAAAGGATGGGATGAAAGATACAGATGAACAGCCATATCAAGAGATACGTAGAATGAGGTCTGGGCGGGTCCCAGGGGCAGGCGCTTTTGACCTTGTGGAGTTCGGTGCGTCACACTCCTGATACGTGGATGCCTTCACCAGTGTGGCCAGTCTCCAAACCCCATACAATTGGGATTTTGTGGAGCTTCCTCACGTAGGTGTGATAAGTCATCAACCCCATGTCCAGCCCCTTCCCCTCTCTGGAAGAGTGGAAGGTGGGCTGAGAATTCCAAGCTTCTAATCATGGCCTGGTCTTCCTGGTGACAGCCCCCACCCAGGAGCCCCACCCACCCCACCC